TTAACAAACACGCCTTTAGTATTCCTTGCTTGATCGGGCAGTCTATACCTATTTTCACTGTCAAGTCAAAGCGCGAGTCGTGTACGTGCCAATTGTACGTTTCTGACTCACACACGAAGTTGTGCAGTGCATTCGGGCATTTTCTGCACGCTTTTGTTTTAAGCTTCGGCTTTGTTCGACCTACGCTTTCTGGTTCCATGTGTTCCGTCGAATTCGCTTCATTACTGCGGTCCCAGACCACGTTATTGAAAAAAGAAGAACGCTGTGACCACAGCGTTCTTGTTTCAGAAGCAGGCCCATTATGAGTTCTTTTAGCGCTTGCTAAAAGAAACTATAAGCACTGTTCAAAAGGGCGTCTGCTGGGTGATATTGTTCGAGCAGACCGCCCGTATAGCGCGGGAAAACACACAAAAATAATCATGTCCAGGAGGAATATTTTTATGCGCATGCACAAAAGCCTATCTTAGAGAGGGACCGAGCGAGAAGGCAAAAAAGAAAAAAAAAAAGGAGACTAATAAATGCACAGTCGTTGTATGGTGGACAGCATAAAATTCCCACGTGACGCCGAAAAGGTCAATTGCACAGTGCACGGCAGGCGCACGCAAGCGAAGCCCTTTCACGTATGGTACGGCAGCACAAAACGCTCCCTCATACGCCTTTCCTATGAGGCGCCATGAGGTCTTCAGTGCGACGTTAGCCTTACGCTGCTGCGACCTCGACCCGCCAGCTGGGAATGATCGAGGGACCCTGACTCCCCCTTTTTCCTCCCCCTCTTAAAAATCAAGAATGGTCTGACTCCGGTCGCTCCACCGGCCGGCATTGCAGCTGCAGCAGCCCCTTCTCCCAGTCTGCACCTTTCTTAGAAACGTTCTCACCCCAAGGCCAATCACATTCGTTAGAAAAAAAAGCCCTAGGCACCTTGTTTTGAAGTTTCCAGATCCAAATAAAGCACACTCTGTTTTACTTCTGAGAAGCAGTTAAACGCACAATCTCAACGCGGAGTCCCTCAATATCACCTCACGGAGTGATATCACGGAGTCACTGAATATCATATCATGCAGTGATATCACACAGTTATTTGATATCATCTCACGAACTCAGACAACGGAGTCGCTCAATATCCTCTCGGACTCAAGTCATATCACGGAGTCATTTGATATCATCTCGCGAACTCGGATCACGGAGTCATTCGATATTATCTCACGAACTCAGATCACGGAGTCACTCAATATCATCTCGCGAGCTCAGTCATGTCACAGAGTAATTCTATGTCATCTCACGAACTCAAACTCATCATGGAGTCATTCGATATCATCTCACGAACTCAAACTCATATCACGGAGTCATTCGATATCATCTCACGAACTCAAACTCATATCACAGAGTCATTCGATATCACCTCACGAACTCACTCATATCACGGAGTCATTCGATATCATATCACGAACTCAGAGTCATATCAGAGAGTCACTCAAATTCACTCAAAATTAGGAAGTGAGTGTGAGTGAGCGTGAATGAATGAGTTTGTGAGTGAGTTTGCCGAGGTATGGTTTGGTCATCTCGAAAACATTGCAAAAGAAGAGGATAAGAACAGAAATGGCAACAAGCGTTACCATCTAGTATCGACTGACTGTTTAATGCGTGCTAAGAGAAGTACGAGAAGAAAGTCGGTTTGTTAATTTTTTTTTTTCTTTCCTTTTCTCTTCTAGAGGGTTGTTCATCTTTCTAGAGCATCAAAATGCAACAATGCCTTTCTTTGAATGAGTGACACATTCTTTTCGATAGTGCCACTTGTCCTGTCTCTCTCTCGTCTTTTGTGCAAATTGTTTTCGAGATGCTTAAAGGGATACTACAACGAAATTTCGGCGCTCATTTTTTTGGTCTATATGTGTTCAAAAGAGCAGTATCACATAGAACATACCAATATCTTGTTAAAAAAGTCTCAAAAAGGAATTTTAAAACAAATTAAACGATTAACAAAGAGCAGCTGGTGGATGTCGCTAACGCCTCGCTTGTAATGCCCGTCTAGGAACCTTGACAGCTAGTGACGGAGGTCGTCTCGCTTCCGGCCACGACGAGAGAAGAGGGGCAGGAGGAACTCCCCTCTTCCCGAGAATGCCTTTTGTGTGTCGCAGAAGTCGCTATTGTCCCCCTTCAAGATTACAGAAGATTAACCCGTCACTCAAAATTCCTACAAAAGCAGCCGCTTCGGTGGCTGGAACGACTAGGCCATCCTCTCGACGTCAGCCTCGCCGTAGCTTTGATCGTCTTGAGACGACCTACGTCACGATTGCGTTGGATGTCACGTGGTCTCCGCTGGGCCTTCTCCCAGCGCTTGCCAGAGTGGGCCGTTTATAACGAAAAATATAGCCACCAGGCTCAAAATACAAACGTGCAATTGTCATTTACAGATATTGTGGATCATATTCAACCTATTTTTGAACACGACGGGAATATTTCAAATTTCGTTGAAGTATCCCTTTGAAACTTGCTGTGCGGTAAGAGTTTATTCTTTCGTTCCCCTCTGAAAAGTGCTTTCAAAGTGGTAGTTTGTGACGTCGTATACAGAGCTCTTTTGTTCTGCAGGTGCACGGTCCTCAAAAAGCTTGCGCACCAACTGCACTGATCAAAGCTATGCAACTCAGAGTACTCCTGGAGAAGCGGCAATCAGTTCATTGCACGACGTTTCATCGACAGCTCAGATTACCTTTTTTTCTGTAATAAGCTGCATGAGACTGTCACTGCGACAGTCTCGTGCAGTGTCGGTAAGGTGGGTTAACATTTTTTGTAATGAGCCGCCGCGAAGCAGCGTGAACGCAGGCAGACAGGCAGGCAGGCGGGTGGGTGGGTTAATGCATACCCCGGTGATACACGCAAGACGAAATGTCCCTACAGCGTGCAATTCGCATAACAAGCATCAATGAAACGAGTGTGTTGACGAAACGTGTGTTCATGAAAAGTTGTCCACGAAACATAATTTTATGAAGCGAGTTTCGATGAAATGAAAGGGACCCTTTATGGAGTGGCATGCGCTGTGTAGCCGAAAACCCATATTTGACGTCATAAACGGTGAATGTGAAACATGGATATCTTGCATTTGCCAACAATTTTGCACCAAATAATTGTCATATTTGGATTCATGGGGTAAAACCAGGCAAGAATTGACCTCCAACTATATTTTTAGGAACCACTTCAGCTTTCTTTAAGCCATGTTACTTTACAAGCATGACTTTCACATCAGGACATCAACAGGATCGCCTCCTAAAGCACACCTGTGCATGGGAATAGCCATACTTCCAGTGTATATACCTTATAATGTCCTGAAGGAGTATTTTACCACATGCAATTCATTTAGCACTGAATTGTTTGTGCGGTAACATACTTCCTCGTTACGTTAGGTCGAGAAAGAGTTGAATGAATGTCCGAGCCCTTTTTAAGATAAAATAGAATGTCAATTTTTATTCCTCGAGCCAACACTTGTTCTCGTGCATTGACGCTAAAGCTTGTGGATAGTGTTGCAAGTCGTGTTGCAAGTTGCACCAGGGAACGGTGACACGATAGCAAGGTAGAACAAGAGGTTTAATTTGGCGATCGGCTCAGAGCCAGGTACGTGCTAGCCACGGGCGCAAGGCACGATTTCATGTGCACGAGCCGCGGAGCTCTATCTGCTCGGCTGCTCAGTGTAGCCAACATCTCCCCCATACAGAAGAGTCAAAGTCTCAGGGGAGCCTTGACGCATCGGCCACTTCTCGTCTGTGAATGAAGATTGCCTTCACATTCTATACGTGGCTCTTGAGCATCTCCGCTCTCAACGACTTCCGCAACCCACTTCTGACACCATGTTGCAAGTTGCGTCAGGAAAGGTGACACGATAGCAAGGTAGAAGAAGAGGTTTAATATGACGATCGGCTCAGAGCCGGGTACGTTCTAGCCACGGGCGCAAGGCACGAGTTCATGCGCACGAGCCGCGGAGCTCTATCTGCTCGGCTGCTCAGTGTAAGCTTAAGCACATAAGCTTAAGCACAAACCTAGCACACCTGATTGTAGCGGCTTTGGCCGTTGCCACAGGTATGTATGATGGGAGTATGGCTACCTGGGGAGTGAAGCAGAGGGGTCATAGTGTTACTCTAATATCCCGAGAGATAGCCCACCTAAAATGAATTAAAAAAAATGGCTCAAATTAAGGAGTGGGCTCACTTGCAGTGTGAAGCAATAATGGCTCTACTTGCCAGTCGGCAATGGTTCATTATATCTTGCCATAGCTAACTCGACACAATAACTAGACACGTTATCTCCCCAATAGTTAACTAAAAAGAAAAAAAAGCAAATGAAGCCAAAAACTGGGGTGGCTTACCTTTCGAGGCTGGGGCATCTCTCAGAATTTTATGGTAAGCATATATCTCACGTCTACAGTTTACATGGTACCAACACACTGGGGTTTTTCAGCTGCTCTTGTGACTGCCACTATAATGAGACTTGACTCTTTTCTAGGGGTGTATGAATACTTTAATATCGGAATACAAATAAAATAGTAAGCTCTCGGATGAATCGATTCGCGAATAAAATTCTTAGTGTTTGGTTAACCGTAGATTTAAAATGTTCTGTGAAAGATGCGCGATCGACATGGAGCCAAAGAAACTTGTGCTCCCTCTCCATTGTAGTGCGCACTTGCATTGAACTTATGAATATGCAAAACATATTTTTTTTTTTTTTTGTTCTTTCGTCACTCACATAGCAGGTGCACTTGCAAACACTACACATGTGGGGTGCAGTGAACCTGTTCTTGCAGACCGTAGTGTTTAGGAGTGCACCTACTATGTGGGCATTGGGAGCACAAAAAAACCATGGACTGCATGCTACAGCTAAAAGTCTGATTGGGATGTACATTTAGTGAAACAAACATGAAGATGTTTTAAAGCAGGGGGTATATGATGTGACTGACATACCACTCTTAATTCAGGCCATTTCATTTTAAGCTTTCTTTCTTCTCTGCCTGCCAGAATTCAGCGACTGGAGGGAGGCTAAGGATGGCAGAGAGCATGTTCGCTTCATTCTCCACGACGGACCCAAGGGACGAGATGAGGGTGTCCTGAAAAGGTATTACTACTGCCACCGCTCTGGATCATTTCAGAGCAAGAGGTAAATGACAACTGAGAACCCAGGGCACTTGTAAGACTAATGTGCAATGCTTAGCCACAATTCAAGCTACAGAGAAAGATGGCAAGGTGACAGTAGAGTACCAGGCAGAACACTACGGCCACCCGAAGGAACTGAAGCACCAGCGCCTCTTTACGACTGAGAAGGAGGCTTTAGCTGATAAACTAAAGCAAGGCATCCCCGCCCGTAAAGATCTGGTGGACGCACATTCTTCTGCTGGCAGTGAGATGGGCAGGCTACATTTGCTCTCAATGAAAGACATTGGCAACATCTCCGCCAACCATGAAATTTTGACGAAAGAGCTACGGCACTGAACAAAGTCAGATTCCCCAGTCCTGTACTGACATGGAGGAAGGAAAACAAAAAGAGAGCTTTGAGCTTGCCCTGATGACTGTCCCTCAGAAAGAACGCCTCACAAAGCTTGGCCCCAAGTTTCTGTGCATTGACTACACTCATAATATAAATGGCCACAATCTGCAACTGAAGACTCATGACAGCTGCAGAAGATCAGTCAGGCATGCCATGCACATATTTGATCTCAAAGTAACTAGACACCAAGGCTATGAAACACTCCTTAAGGCCATAAAGGTAATGCATGGGAGGAAGTGATGGGCTGTGCCCAACATTGGATGCTCTGCTCGTGGCATGTAAGCCACGACTGGGCTCTGAAGTTGCAGTCAGTCCAAGATATAAGCAAACCCGTGACCGTCTTTGCGACGAGTTGTGGGCGCTGAGAAATTGCAAAGATGAGGGTCAATTCCAACGACCTCCGACAGGCTTCCCGTGTCAGAAACTAAGTGAAGAGGCTGATCCAAAACTAATTCAACAAGTACAGGAGTTTCTTCAGTACTTTGGGCACTACCATGGTGGCAGAGCCTAACAGTGGGCGCTCTGCTTCAGAAAGGGCATTCCTTTTAATACTACCAACCACTTGGAGGCAATGTACAAGGACCTGAAGTCACGCTAATGCATGGAACTCACAACCAGAGGCTTGACAAGCTGTTGATGATCCTCTTCGAACTGAGCCGTGACCGGCTCTACAAGCGTCCCAAGTCGCTCGTAAAAGGAAAAACGAATCGGCATGATGCAGCCCTTTTTCGGAGGCACCAGGAGGGGATGAAAATTCCAGCATCAGATGTAGAACAGCTGCAAAATGGCAATGGCTGACTTGTAAAGTCTCAGTCCCAGACAGAGAGAAGCTACCATGTTGAGAAGGGCGACCCCCGCCAGAGTTGCGTGCTTCGTTGCAGGGACTGTGATATCTTTATCGACAGTTACAAGTGCACTTGCAATGACAGCCTGATTTCATCATCAATGTGCAAGCATATTCACGCAGTAGCTTACCTGGGGATTCATGTGACGACCGTGGAGGAGGCCGACACTGAGCCAGGTGTAGAAATGCCATCAACAACACGTGAAGCAACAGGCTTTACGTTAGATGATGAGCCACAGTCCCTCTTGGATGACATTCGGCAGGGTATTGAGGTAGGGATGGAGAAGACTCAACCAAATTCAAAGGACAACATATGTTTAACAATAAGTGGACTGAACAAGTCCCTCTCCAGGAAGAAATTGACAAGCTCTTCAAGCTCCTTGGTGTTGAAATACCGTACCAAGGCCCAAGAAGTACTTGACTCTGTTCCAGATGAGACTTCTCCAAAACCTAGGGTAATCCCTCACAAAAAAAAGATGGAAAAACAACCACGGTACTTTCCCCCCCAAAAGACGCCCTGGTTCTGGTCCCATGCATGGCAAACCTCCCACCAGCTTGGAGCAGCAGCACATCATGCAGGGCCTTGTAGCCAGGTGAGTTCCTACAGAAGGAGCAGCATCCGCTCAGCTCCATGTGGATGTTCCGAGCATGTCTGTGCTGGCCCTCAAGGAGCATGACTACTTTGCAAATCAGTAGTCGTGACAATTGGACTACAAAAAAGGGGCAGTATTCTTCTTGCAAAAAGGAATGGCGTGTTGGACAGCTTGGATTTCTTTCCACTTTGGAGAATGTCACGAGAGGCTCGAGCTAAAGGCAAGAGGGGCATCTCTTACCATCTTCCAACAGGTTACGTTAGGCGAGGCATTATATGCTGACCTTAATCGTAACGCTTTTTTAACAACCAGGGATTGGCAATTTTATTTCAGTTGATCCGGAACGGTTGTCTCTAAATTAACGGGCAACCATAGTGCCTCGAAATGCTCGTTTATAAGCGTGCCCCTCGCTGAAACCGGCACTTTTTTTTAGATAGTATTACTGCACGAGAATGTGCAGCTTTTTCCGCTTTGGAGAATGTCAAGAGGTGCTCGAGCTCGCCATTCTCCAACAGGTGGCTTATGTTATCAGCTGGTCTTAATTGGAAAAGTTTTAATGGCCAGAGCTTGCCAATTTAATTTCAAATTTATGCAGACAGGTTACCTCTAAGTTAATGAGTAACCATAATACCTCAAGTTGCCTGTTACATGCTTATTTTTTATTTTGCATACTGCTGCACGGGAATGTGAAAGTTGCAGTTCCCGCGACATACCAAATTATTTTAGTATGTGACTTATATGCTTTAGGATATAATCGTTTTCTTGCTAATAAGTGCCTATAATCACTGTTTCATTGTTTTGTGAGCCAAGAGGGAGTGACCACTGGCGACCACAAGCATGAGGATCTGCTACAGGAAGCATAATCATGTAAGTCATCCCTGTGTGCACGGGATAGTTTGTAACGGGCTAGGTGAGATTCAATTGCCAGCATTCTAAAAAGCGATAACTCAGAGGAGAGTAAAAGTAAAAGCAAGCTGGTGAATTGCAGACGAAAAACTGAAACACCAGAAGGAAAAAGGACACGAAAAAAAGGATGACACACACACACACCGTCTCGAACACAGCTGAAGGTTTATTCTAAAACCACACCCTTTTATAACGGTACACCACAGTCAACGCCAAGAACCCTCACACCAAGTCACACACCCAGACTGTCAGCAAGAGCAAACAAAAGAAATGCACTCGACGCATCCATACGTGCCAAGGTCAAGCAACTGACAAAAAAAAAAATTGCATTGGTCAAAAAGTTTGTACTTGCTTGTGAATCACCATAGACGAGACACTTACACAATTACCAGCAGAACCAATACTAAGAGTTTCTTCTACCGCGCGTTTGAACTGATCTCGCTCGGCTTATCACCGTGGTGGCCATCCAATTCGGATGACAACTGTTGCAAACTTGTAAATGTACTACAGTTTCTGAATTTGGGGATTGCAGGAGAACACACCTTTTGTGCTCTATGATTTGCTCATTAACATAACATCCAGTTTAAACTATGTATGAAAACCCAGGTGCCAAAGGAATATTATAAACACTACCATATTGACATTCAGTGGCAGGATTCCTATGCGTTTTCCCGCAAACTTTTTCTACCTCTTGTGAAAGGAGTCGACCTACTTTATCTGAAGTCTTCAGAAGCACGTTCTCATGGTCACTCTCGTCGTCGTCTGAGGCCGTCTTGTCTTCACAGGCAATGTGAGACTCACTCTGAAGACAAATTCGGGATCTTCAGCATCGCTGCCGTCCGAACTGCTGCTAGGAACAGCTCTTTTTCTGGGAACCATCACCGCCATTAGCATTCCTCATGCGTGTCGCCATTTTAAATTCATGTTGCCAGGCCAACAACTGCTGTCAGGCTAAACACATTGCAAAAGTGCAAAACGCTTTTTTTTTTCCAGCACCTTTTTAGGTTGAAAATAGAAACCGAAACCAATTTTTGAACGTAACTTGTTTTTGACGCAGAGAGCAGCACAGCATGAGGGTGGACGAATGTGACTCGTCATTGGTGATATTTGTACAAACTAATAATGTGCACAGCTCGGACCAATGTAATTTAGCACACAGGTGGAATATAATTGTGACATTGTCTGTCCCTTTTTTTCTATCTCTTCTAATTTTTTTTTCCCCTTTTTTGACCACAGTGTCAACCGTCAGCTTGCCTGCACATAAACCTTTTTTTTTTTTTTTTTCAATAAAATTGGCCATTTCTAGCTATATTAATGAACAGAGCTCACTTTAGTAAGAGAAAAAAAAAATAGTTTACGTGTGAAAACCAAATTACATTTTAGGCCACTGTCTATTTTGGCAAAGGGAGACAGATAATACATAAGCCAAGTTTACTTCCTTCCCATTCCCTCATTTTTTCAGTCGTAATAAATGCCACGGTGGCCCAAAAGGCTGTTTGATGATATTGCACCAAAAGGAGTGGGCAATCACCCATAAAAAGTGTTGTTTCCTTAGCTGTGGGGGGGCTCAAACTTTTAGGTTGAGCTGCACCATCTAGATCAATTCTGTAGTAAATCGTAGCACGATAGGTCAAGGTAGCAATTTATGCGGTTCTTTCAAAGGGTTATGCGCATTTATACTCGTGCTGTATTTTTACAGATCAAGAGACTTGTATGACTGAATCATGCCAGCTGTGTACTAGCTTGTTGAAGGCGCCAGATAAATGACGACATAAGCCATTGACTTTAGTGGCACACCAACTTTTTGTCAAAGTGCCCATTAGAATTGTCAGAGGCAACGCTATCAACGCAGTTTGTCTGTGCAATGCCATCAATGCAGTTTGTCTGTACCACTGCCGTTCAAAGTCCGGTAGCTAGCCCAAATAGTCTAGCATCACATACGAGGTTCGTTGGCAGAAAATGCAAGAACAAATGAAATTCAGGCACCTTGTGCAGCCTCACCAACAAATGTAGACCACATACTGCAATGGCAAAAACACAGAGGTCGGCCGCTTCTGTCCACATACCTTCTGCGCATGCGCGAGTTTGCCGTTGTGTTGATAAACAAAGCACGCCGCACGTCGGTGTATACACTCTGCCAATTTGTAATTTATGTGATGAAGATTTCTACAAAACTAAAACATATTGGCTGTTGCTGAATTGTGCCAAAAACATTAAGGGTGATTTCAAATAAGATCGATCAAGGGGTGGCTGGTCGACATTTTCAATTCAATTGATATTTTTCTGTCATTGCTTAATATCCCGTATTTGCAACTCCAATGCCCCATACGTGGCAAGGCGGTACTTCCAAGATGGCAGAAGAGACGAAGATAGATTCTCCAGGATTTCACATGCACCTGCTTGTTCACGCTTGTCACTGCGCTAAAAATGACTCATTTGTGTACAAATGCAAAGCAGTTAGGGCAGGATCATATTACAGGTGACGGAGATATTGATGCGTGGTAGAAAAACGAGCATACTGATATTTAAAAGTTGCAGAAACCCCAACTTCCAAAGCTTTGTGGTGTGTGAGCGCGTTTTAGACACCAACCACGTCACTGTTTGTGGCAACATATTTTAGAGGGTGATGAAGATATTGTGTTTGCGCCAGGGTGTCGAACCGGAACCGAACCGAACCGAAAACCGGAACAGAACCGTTATTTTTAGCCGAACCGGAACTGAACCGAACCGAAATCTTCGCCGCCATCTTGGAACTGAACCGGAACTGAACCGGAAAAAAATATAACGGTAACCGGTTCAAAACGGTTCACGGTATTTTTTTTTGTTAGTATTACAAATTTATTATTATTGGCACGTGTATTCCTCTACGTATTGATCAAATCGTCATATACAGAATTGCAGTGTATAATAAATCCTGGTTTTTTGCGGCGCTTTCTTATTGGCACCATGATTAGCCATGTGTCACAATGTCACGTGACGTCATGATGTCAAGACGTGCTGTCAAGTAATGTCGCATCACGTGACCCCGTGACGTCACGTGACTCACCGCGTTAAGTCGATTCGAATTGAGGACGTCGCTAGATCTATTAACGTTGTTGATACCGTGACGTCACATGACATCACAACTTCGCACTGAGAGTCACGTGACACCATGATGTACCCGATTGTCATGATCCCGAGTCAAATGCTCTGGTTCATGACAACCAGTATCGCCAAACATTCGGGTAACGCTCGTGTTCAACTCAAAGATTATGATGGGCCCGAGTCCCACTAGAGCTAGAAACAGAAACAAACGAAAGCGACAAGCCTCAGACACATGCAGCATGTTCGCGATGGTACCTCTATACGGCTTTGAGTTGTTCGGTGCTCGCGAAGTTAGCACGAGTGTTTACAAGCCTGCAAATGGTACCATCGTGTGCATGATACTCGTGTTTGAGCATAGCCTTCTTTATTCTACAAAGCCTGTCAAATCGCGAAATACTCTGGTTTAAGGCCAGCCGCTGTCGTTTGTTTCTGTTTGTCGCTTTAGTGGGGCTCGGGCATTATAGCCCAACTAAAATTATATCTGAAGATCAGCCCATGCTCTCTGCTTTGCCAACCCTGCGTATGACTATGATAAACACTGACGGTGTATATATTAGGATCAGATCACGTGGCTGATAGTTCTAATTGTGAGTTGAGGAGGGGAAAGCTGCTTCATTTCTTTCTTTCGACTGTCTGCCATTTCGCGGAGGGGCAAACTAATGGATGCTTTTGCAAGTTATCAACGTCAAGGATTACAACTTAGCGGTATTTATTGAACTTAAGGTAAAAAAAAAAAAAAGATGCTGCACGACCCATTTTACATGTATGCACACCATTGAGGCTCCCAAACATGTTTTCATTATTGCTGAACTGCCTCAGAAAGTTGTCCCGAGAATAGAAGTGTTAAAGGGTCTAAATGTGACGTATTAGTCGGACGTTACATGGAACTATTAGTGTGTACGGAAGGGATACCTGAAAAGAAAGATCCTAGTGGCCTCACGGGGATAGCCGAACGTTGGCAGCCGCTCTAAGTCTCACAGGAGTGTCGCTCTCAAGTTCTCCAAGTTTCGACCGCCCTGTATTTTGTTTAACCTTCACAGTTTGGTGCAAAGTTAAAGCAAGGAAGAATTACTGTTAACAAGTGACACAAATATAATTGTCGAGTGAACACCACTCAATACGGAGCAGGCAATCCCTGAGGAATAAAAAGTATCTTGAGGAGCAACTAAAAAAAAAGGGAGTGGGGAGGGGGTAGTTTTAAAGCATACTGTGTCGTAAAGATTCCTCTGCCCCACATTTTCGGCGCAGACTAGAAAGCGTGGCCTGGAAACGATGGTGACGGGTAGTTGGTACAACTTTTATTTGTAAAAACACTCTTGCCAGAAAGCACGTTTTCGTCGTGCCAGATACTCCGCCGTGCCTAACGACGATGTACCAACAAGAAAAATGTGTGCCTCTCAAATACATAGCTTGCACTGAGCGCGAAACTTTTGCAGCGTGCATTTTGCCAAACCGGATTTTATTTTCTCAGCAAGAACAACTCGCAATGACAACCAGTATCTAGTGCGATTACGTCACGTGCAAACCATGTTAAATACTTCAGCTTTCTGGTGAAGTGCGACGTTCGCAACACCAGCAGTAGACGTCCAATGTGTAAAGTTGTGTAGTATTTATAGTAGTCTCGCGATGATATACGGCAGCCTAATGAAATGTTGGAGCACATGACTGATAAAGAACAGAGTCATGAAGTAAGGTCTCAAAACAAGTGCACGTAAAACCTAAGATAACATTAGCCTCCCGAGGTAGTATCCCGCGACGTTTCGAGCTGAGGCAAGCTGATGCCCAAAAGTGATTTATATTAGGATTCTAAAAAATCTTTGTTTGCCCTGCGCGGAATCTATGTTTAATTAGGAATATCATTTTATGCATTTCTATGC